TAATATTGCCCATTATCACGGAGGACTCCTTAGACCCCCCTCCCGTGGCCACCCGGTCCCCCTTCGTGCCCCCGCCCCCCACCTTCTACCCCTTTCTCACGGGCGTGGGTGCCACCCAAGACACCCTGCCCCCGCCCGCCGCGCGCCGCCCGTCCTCGGGGGGGCCGTGCCAGGCTGAGCGCGACGACAGCGACTGCGAGGAGCCCGTGGAGGCCTCGGGCTTCGCCTCCGGGGAGGTCTTTGACTCCAGCCTCCCCCCCACGGACGACGAGGACTTTTACACCACCTTTCCCTTGGTCACGGACCGCACCACCCTCCTGTCGCCCCGCAAGCCTGTGCCCCGACCCAACCTCAGGACAGATGGGGCCACGGGCGCCCCCGGGGTGCTACTTGCGCCCTCCGCCCCAGCCCCCAACCTGCCTGCGGGCAAAATGAACCACCGAGACCCGCTGCAGCCACTGCTGGAGAACCCACCCCTGGGGCCCGGGGTCCCCACGGCCTTTGAGCCGCGGCGGCCGCCTCCCCTGCGCCCCGGCGTGACCTCAGCCCCCGGTTTCCCCCGTCTGCCCACAGCCAACCCCACGGGGCCGGGGGAGCGCGGCCCACCGGGCGCGGTGGAGGTGATCCGCGAATCCAGCAGCACCACGGGCATGGTGGTGGGCATCGTGGCGGCGGCAGCACTCTGCATCCTCATTCTTCTCTACGCCATGTACAAGTACCGCAACCGCGACGAGGGCTCCTACCAGGTGGACCAGAGCCGCAATTACATCAGTAACTCGGCCCAAAGCAATGGGGCGGTGGTGAAGGAGAAGGCCCCTGCTGCCCCCAAGACGCCCAGCAAGGCCAAGAAGAACAAAGACAAGGAGTATTACGTCTGAGCACCCAGTCCAGGCACCGCGCCCCACTGCCAGCTGCTCCTCCCGGGAGGGCCCAGGAGGAGGGTGCGTCCCTCTCCCTGCAGGGGGACCTGGGGACTTTCTCCCCGGCTGCCTCAGGCTTCTCCTACGAAGAGGAAACGCAAAAAAAAAAAAAAAAAAAAAAAAAAAAAGAAAAAAAGAAAAGGAATATAACTACGTGCTCACTCCCTTCCCTCCCGCTGCCCACGGCGCCGCTCTGTCAGCTCTGGGGCTGGCTGTCCTTCTCCGCTCTGCGTCTGTCAGGCAGGGCACGTGCTCACAGCCCTGGGTTGATTTATTTTTTTAAGGGGGGTAGTTTTATTTTGGTGGGGCTGGGCGGGAAGGAAGGCTGGGGTTTTGTAAAGTGTCCACTGCGCTGTTCGTTTATTTTCCTCGGTTTTCTTCCTCCTTGTTCCTCTTGCCTTCCTTCTCTTCCCAGCCCTTCTGTCCCTGTTCAGGCTTGCTGTGTCTATTGTCCCTACCCTCCTTTTCACCCCCCACCCCGTTTTCTTTCTCTTTCTCTTTTTCTTTTGTCTTTTTTTTTTTTTTTCTCTCCTTAAAAAAAAGAAAAAAGAACTTGTTTTCTCTGTTTCCCTCCCTTTGGGTTTCCAGAGACGCTGGGAGAAGAAGGGTGGGAGGGTGGGACCAGAGCGGCCCAGCTTGGGCAGCTGGGTCCGGGCAGTGGGGTTCATTCTCCTAGTGCCCCAAGTCCCCTCAAAAGAAGGTCCTGCCTAGGGGCGCCCAGGGATGGGGCTTGGGCCTGGCCAAGGCCCCTTGTGTGTATCGCTGCCGGGCAACGTGCATTGCTGGGGAAGCCACTGGAGGAGCGGGGTGGGAGGGCGGGGGGAGGGGAAAGGCAAATGCAGATATATATTAAAAACAAATAATCGAGGTACCAGAGCTGCCGTCTGCGGCACCAGCTAGCTGCAGGTGCAGGGAAGGGAGGGAGTGAGACTGTGTCTGCGGATGGCTGGGGTCACTTCTCTGCCCATGGGCCCCCTGCTCCCCCAGTTTTTTTCTCTTTGTTAACAAATGTGTCTGAGTCTTGGAAAACACCCCAAACCCGGAAATGTGTGGGAAAAAGAAAACAAAAACTTTCCAAATTCCAACAGTCCTGTGTAGTTTGTTCTAGGGTGGGTGCTGTTAGCTCCTGGGTCTGGGTGGCCACAGTGGGTGCACCTGACTGTTGGTAAGTTTTCTCTAAATATGTGTGTATTTAGTGTGTGAAGATTTACGTGCTCTTGGGGGGCATCTTACAGGAGGCAGCTCTCTGCTTCACCACATGGGCCCTGAAGATGGAATTTAGATTTCAGGCTTGATGACAAGTGGCTTTGCCCACTGTACCATCACCCAGCCATTTCACTGGCCCAGTCCCCCCCCTCCCCCGCCCCGAGTTTTGAGTTGAATATAACATTGGGCTGTTGGACAACTGTTCTGTGTCTCACATTCAAGTCCCTGCCAGGCTGAGGGTGGGGGGCACCTGTGGTGTAAGGGGACTGGCATTTGGCTGACGTTCCCTGACCTTGACTTCTCAGATGGTATGTATCACCAGCCACTCACAGTACAGGCTAGCTGACACCTTTTCTGGTCTTTGGAAGGAGGTAGCCTCTCCTGGTGGCCAGGGTGACAGTGGCTAGTTCGGAGCCTCAAGGTGCAGCAGTGGCCCAGGGACTCTCTGAGGGCTTGTTTCTCAGTGTTGCCCATTCTGACTGGTTCTGCTTCCCACTTGTAGCATGGCACCTTCAACGCCTGACTCCAGGTGAGGCGCTCTCTGAGCTTGGCCTCTATTTGGCCTCCTGAACCTACTGGCTTCTAGCCCTGCTTGCCCTCCATGCAGCTTTTGGTCTGGGAGCCTGGGGTGACCACGCTGACTCATCTATAGGAGTCTGGGGACGCTTTGACCTGGGGCAGTGCTGCCAGGATGTCCTGTCCCCAGATGGTCATGGCCTCACCCCTGGAGCTTTGTGTTACTACCTTCTCTGCTAAGTTCAGGCTTGGATTCTGGTCTTCACCTGTGTTGTTAGTCACAGAGAGCAGATAGAAGGAGGTCCTTGGTGACAGGAAGGGAAGGAATGGTTTTACTCTTGCTTCAGGAATTTCTACACTGAGCCTGACTGAGGCAGAACATTGAGGGGGTGGTTTCGTTCCTGCTGGTTGCTGTGTAACTGGGCTCCATCTGCCTCTCTGTATCAGGTCAAGGCCTGCCATTCAAGGGCTTTGTTTTTTAAAGAAAGAGTTCTGGGTGTTAACTGTTGACTAATTCTGGTTTTTTACTCAGTTTACCTTTCCAAAAGGTTCTCTTGGCTCTTCCACTGTTGGAATTTCAGCAGTTTTGAGGTTAGAAACATCCACAGTAGGCATTGTACAAAGGGCATATCCCAAATGGGGACAGGCAGCAGCCCATGTCAGACACAGTGATGCTGTCACTCACCAGAGTGACAGAACCTTTTGTCCTGAAAATTCTCGGCCACCTAGGTAGAGCATTCTGAATATGGGTGGAGGAGCAACTCCACCAGCTTGTGGAGTCAAAGCACTGTGGGAGAGAAGAGGGTCCCTCTCTGCTGAGCTCTGCCTTTTAGAAGCTCTAGGCATCCTGTAGCTCCACCCCCCCCCCCCATGCAGCTGGGCCTAGAGCAACAGAACATGTTTTTCCTGAGGCATCAGGTGGCATAAATACAATCTTACCTCTACCCTCTGTCCAGGGAGTATCACTACAGTGTGTGTGTGTGTGTGTGTGTGTGTGTGTGTGTGTGTGTGTGTGTGTAAATGGCCAAAGCACATAGTCTCCCTGAGGCTCAAGAGCCACAGCTGAGGAGCAAGCCTGCAGGACCAGCATGCAGGGCAAGGGCTGTTTTCTGTTTCCCACTCACCTTTTTGTGCATGTGCACATGTGCATGTGTGTCTATGTGCCGCAGCCTTTTGCTGAGGTGCCTGGGAGACCATCTAAGTGTGCCCCCAAGTGATGCAGCTGTGAGCCAGCTACTGACCCACTGGGCAGTATACCATCTCTGGGACACTTCATGGCCTTTTCCTATGAGCAGTCCCAGTGGAACCCAGAGAGTGCTGGCTGATTCCGAGAGGGACAGAGGCCCTTTGCATGTATTCCTATCTTCCTAGATGACACTGTGGCCAGAGCAGGGCTCAGGAGACCTACAGACAGGGACTTGCATTCTGAGCCCGCCTCCTCCCTGCTGTATGTTATGGGCAGTCTGTTTCTCTCCAAGCTCAGATGTCCCACCTGTGAAAAGGAACAGCACATGACAAGATGCAGAGTACTCTGCTATGGGAAAGACCTGAAAAGGGGCTGGCAACAGTGGCCCCAGCCCTGGCCCAGAACATAGGAAAGCCAGCCTTGGGTTCTGTGTGTGAGTGAGGGTGTGGGGCAGGGGACCAGTGGCCCTCAGGGAATTAACCTGCTGGAGGGTAAGAAGAGGCAGATGTGCAGCCATAACCATGGGTGCAATGCCATCAGAGGCAGGGGCTGGCCCTGAACCCTGGAAGGAAGACCCCAGGGGGATCTGGAAGGGGTAGGAGAGTGTCAGGTGGGAAGGCAGAAGGAAGACCCATGCAGAAGTTGTTGGGGGTGGGGTGAGGGGAGTGGTGTGTGTGTGTGTGTGTGTGTGTGTGTGTGTGTGTGTGTATCTGCTTGGAGAGAGGCCAGGCCAGCTGACCAAGGGCCTCAGTCAGGATAGTGGCAATGTCTGGGGCAGCCTTCTATCATTCAAATGGTTCTTAGCCCCATGTGTGAGGGAGGGCTAGAAAAGTAACCCTCTAAAGAGACCCCTGGAGATGGAGTGCTTCGCTTCCTGTGGCTGTCTGCAGGGGATAGAAGAGCCATCTTTTCCTTCTCCTTTTCCCTCATCCTCTCCTCTTCTTCCTCCTCCCCTTCTTCCTGTTTCCTCTTCCTCCTCCTCTTTCTCCTGCTCCCTCCTCATCTTCCTCCTGCCTGCTTCCTCTTCCTCCTCCTCTTCCCTCTCCCTCCTTCCCTTCCTCCTCCTTTTCATTCTCCCCTTCTTCTGTTATTTTATAAATTATTTATTTGTGTGTATCATGGGGGGAGGGGCATGTGTCCATGTGGAGGTCAGGGGACGGCTTTGCGGAGTCGGTTCTCTCCCTTCCACCATGCGGGCTCCAGGAATGGAATTCATATGTTCAGGCTTGGGGCAGGCACGTTTACCCGCCATTGCCAGCTCTACCCTTCCCCTTCTCTCTCCCTCTCTTTCTTTTCTTCCTCTTGTTGCCATCATGCTCCTCCTCCTCCAGGCCTATCATAGACTCTCCAGGAGGCTACAGCCGTGTAGACATCAGGATGCACTGGCTTGCTGTGTCATGTGTCACCTTCTTCACTGACCTGTTCAGGAAAAACAGGAGTGTGATTCTAAGGAATAGAGTGATCACTGACCCTTGACCCATGTCCATGCTGAGGACAGAACATTCTGCTTGGGGCTCAGGTCTGAGCTTACTGAGCATATCAAGATGAGATGGGTGTTGACAACTTTGTCAACCACCCAATGGCTTTACTGGCAGAGTCTGCTGCCTGTGAGGACCACAGCAACACCCACCACATCCCAGAACCTCTCCCTGACAAAAGCCAGCTCACTCATAAGCACACTCTGTCTCCTGCAACCTCTCTCTCTGCCTCTTTCATGGTAGACCTGGTGATGGCTGGGTCACTCATTCCTCCATATGGTGGGATGAAGGGCAGAGTTTGCCTGACTGCCTGGGTCTCTTGGTGCTGGTAACTCTGGGCTCTTCTAGCCCTCCCTTGGCTTCTGCTTTCCCCTTTGTTCAGTGAGAGGAGTGAGTTCCCAAGCCACTCTGTTTGGGGCTTCTATAGGAGGGAGGGATGGAAGGAGGGAGGGGAGAGGCCGTGGCTGCCAGGCTGGTCCACTCACTGTTTCTGGATGTCTTGAATGGTGTCAGGCAGTGGCAAGTTCTTGGTCTCAGGTAGTAGCAGTGCAGCCAGTCCACTTAGCACTGACACCACTCCGAACACCAGCAGGGGCAGCCAGAAGCCATAGCCACTCAGCAGCAGCACCAGAGGCCCTAGGATGGCTCCCCCTCTGGTTGCTATCTGGCACAAACCCACTGCTGTCATCCTGTGGAGACACATTGGCCTGTGAGTCACACTCCTTCTGCCTTGGACCTTGACCTCTGGCCTTCCCAACTCCACTAGCTCCAGGGATGCCCAGTGGACCAGGCAGGGTGGAGGCTTAACTGGGGAGCCCCTAGACCATGTGGAAGGGAGACCCATGGGGACCTGGGGGCAGCTCCCCCCTTCTATGGTGCTCTCGGCTTGAGCCCATGGCGGCCTCACCTGAGCACAGTGGGGAAGAGTTCACTGCTGAAGATGGTGGCACAGGTGAAGGCAGCCCCCAGTGACCCCAGCCCCAGCACAGCCAGGGATGAACCAAGGGCCTCCATCTCTGTGGATAGTGATGGCATCAGCAGAATCTGGCATCCTATATTCCCTGTGCTGCTTGCTCCCTGTTTATAGGCTGGTCTGTCAAACGTCTCTGAGTCATCCACACTGTGTCTCCAATCTCCCCACCGTCCGGCCCTTCAGAGCCAGACCCCAGGGGTCCTCCTTGCCCCCCCCTTCTCTTCCACCCTAATCTGTTACCGAGTTCTGTGTTAGCATCATGGCTTTCCTGATCTCCCCTAAAATCCTACCATGCCATCACTGCTCTATGCCCGACCACTCTCCTCCACAACCCCAACAGCCTCTCTCCTCTGTTGTGGTCTCTCACTCTCTACCCTGGTTCTACACTCCCCCACCCAGAGGAGAGCCTCAGCTCCCACACCGCACTTTGGCCTCCTCTTGCTCACCTGCAGCCTAGTTGCAACTCACCACGGGGCACCAGTATGTTGGCCAGGATGCAGAATCCTGGCAGCACCAGGGAGCTGGCCTGGCAGAGACGTCGGCCCAGACATTTGAGCAGCAGCAGGCTGCCTATCTTCATAGGGAGGTCCACAACCCCAACGAGCATTTGGAGCAGGAAGATGTTGCTTCCTAGGGCCTGCAGGTTGAGGGCCAGGCCGTAGAAGGTGAAGCCAAAGGAAAACCTAGGAGTGAGAGTGGGCGAATCAGCCTGGGTGGCTGTTCTTCTGCTTGCCTTGTTGGCCTTGTTCAGGCTCACTTTAGGCACGCCTCTCTCTGCTCAGCACTCCATTTGGGACCCTATCTCCTTGGCTCTAGATTCCACTGAACAGTCCCTCCCTACAGTCTTTGTGCGTTTGATCTTTGCTGGGTGGCCTAGACTTCCCAATTGGAGCAGTAGCCCATCGATGTCTGGTGCCTGTAAACAAGATGGCGCCTGTCTGTCAGCATCTTGTCTGATTTGCCTCCCCAGCTTTTCCAGCGTTATTGTCATGTCTATCCTACTCACGCAATCTCTTCTGGGTGCGGGCCTATAACCCTTGCTCACCAGCCCACTCAGCCTTGCTTGTCTCCTCTGGAAGCCTGTATAGACAGCAAGGTCCCTGAGATGGTCACACTCCTCCTGCCTTGGACCTTGACCTCTGGCCTGGCCCAACGCCACTAGGTCCAGGGATGCCCATGGACCAGGCAGGGTGGAGGCTTAACTGGGGAGCCCCTAGACCATGTGGAAGGGAGACCCATGGGGACCTGGGGGCAGCTCCCCCCTTCTATGGTGCTCTCGGCTTGAGCCCATGGCAGCCTAGAGACATCTCTAGCTAGTGCCCCATCCCTGGCTGCCTGGCAGCTGGCCTGACTTCAGACTTCCCTACAGTTGGAAGCCTTGGGTAGAAGGGCATCTACCAGCACAGCATGGAGATGAAGGTTCGGAGGCGGAGCCCAGGTGTATGGAGTAGGGTGCCTAGACTGGCACGAGTTTGGTTCCCACTTAGTTCCTCCTGCATGGCTGACCGCAAGACCTGTGGGGGGTGGGAGCTGTTAGCACTTGGTACCCACAGGCCCTCCTCCAGGGGCCCTCCTTCCAGAGCCAGGGCCCTCACTTGACCTCCAAGGGAGCTCCTGTGCAAGGCCAGGGAGAGGATCTGAAGGATAGGGGACAGACTTGAGGGAAGGCCCAGCTCTGCCTTACCTCCACAGTCAATGTGTCTCCCTCTGCCTTCTTCCTGTTGATAGCAGCTACCCTCTGTAGTTCCTTCAGGCCCTGGTCCACCTTGCCCACTGTGAGGAGCCAGCGTGCTGATTCTGGAAGCCACCTGAAGTGGATGGGTGTGGGAGGGGGCTGCTGATTGTGGCCCTCTCTGTCCTTCTGCCCCTCTGCCTAAGGAGGTGGGTCCAGTGGAATTATAAGCTTCAGTCTCAGGGTAGCTGAGGTCAGAGTATAGCCAGGCCACGTAGATCACTACCTGTAGCAGCAGGTGGCCCCCCGTCTCCTCCCTCTGTGAGTTTGGGGATCCCATGTTCTCTAGCCCCTGAGAAGGCTGCTGGATTGGGAGGGACTCTGTTGCCCCTTCCCACCTTCTTGTCCCATGGCCCCTCCTCAGCCTCACCTATGAATCAGGCCTGGGTGCAATAAAGACCCCAGTGGCTACGGAACTATAATGGCTACCAGGTGCCTCACCACCATGACATCTTTCTATGTCACACACATTCCTTCCTGCCTCCTTCCCCAAGTGGTATTGTCTTCCTGCTAAAAACAGCTTCACCACTCCCTGCCCGGGGCTCAGGCTAGGGCCAGTGTCTCTAACATCACCAAACCTCTCTGTCTGCTCCCCCGTTAACCACTGATCCCTGGATCCTTTGACCCCATTGTGCCCGACTTCTCTTGGCCCTGCCTCAGCCAATTCCGTGTCAGGATATGGCTGCTCAACGCCAACTTGCTCTCACTGTATCTGCATCAAACACAGGTCACCCTCTCCCTCACCAAACACAGGGGCCACTCGCATGCTCTGCCTTTCCTCTCTCCTCCCCACTTATTTGCTGCCCTGGACTGTTTGGCCCTCTAGGCCTTTGGGAGTGACCGCCACACAGTTTTGCTTCTCTGTCTAGGCTTATGATTACAAAAGTCCCCCCAACGCACATACCCAGAAGGACATGCTGTTCCTTTTGAGCAGCAGCTGGGAGGAGCATCTGTTTTATATCCACTAGGACCCTGAGCACCCCTCCCGGATTTGAAGGGCAAGGGAGGGGAATGGAATGAAAAGACAAATAGAGTCCATGATTCTTAGTACCCTGGTGACCTTGGGAGACTTGGACAGTGAGCAGGAGAGGCATCCTAGTCCCACCGGGAAAGTAGGTGGGAGGGATCAGGGTTGAGGAGGTGTCGGGGGGTTAGGAGGGGTCAGGAGAGGCTGGAGGTAGAGTCAAGGTGGGACTGGAGATGTTGAGGGTGGGGGTGAAGCACGTTGAGGCAGAGATTTGGGATCCACAGCATATGAAAGGGCCTGGAGTCACTAACTAGCAAGATCCCCTGGGGGAGGGGGCATGGACTGTGACCCCAGTCTGTTGCTAGGTCACAGAATGATGACACAGGGCTTGCTGGGGGTGAATTGGAGCAGGGGGCATCTGGGTTTTGGGCAGCAGTGGTGAGCATCTTGAGTCTCCATGGCCTCCTTCCAGCCCTGGTGGCCTTGACCTCCAGAGCTCCTAAGCACTCTGCAGAAAAAGGAGAGTCTCCCACACTGACCCCCAAGAGTGGGCAGAGCCTCCTTTAAGAAGGAGGCTGCAGCACCCACCATGAATGTACAAAGTAGAGGAAGAAGGGAGCAGAAACCACCAGCTGCAGCATCCTCCAGTTGCGCACACCATAGGCCACAGAGCCTGTCAGGACATGCCCGAAGCTGAAACCCAAGGCGTTCAAAGTCATCATCAAGGGGCGGGCCCGGGCTGATGTCCACTCCATCACTGCAAGGTGCAAGGAAGGACATGTTAATCCTGGAGCTTGCACACAGCCTCCCCAACCCAGTACCATCTGGGGGACGTACTGAGACTGGCTGAGTTCATCATGACACCCGCCACTGCAAAGGCCACCAGGAAACGGAACAGGCAGTAGAGGGGGAAGATGGGGATGAAGGCAGCTGTCGTGCCGCACACAGCCACCTGAAGATAGCTCCAGGTCAGCACCCTCCTGCGCCCGAGCCTGCAGTACACATGGGAGACATGCCATTGGCCAGCAGCAAAGATCTGGGTCATGAAGGGCTGTCCTGTTCCTGCCTCCTTAAGAGGAAAGGAGCAAAGCCAAATATGGGGCCAGACCCATGCTCTACCCATGGGAGGGTTATGTGCACAAGGAGGGTCAAGTCCGGCTTGGCAGCAGCACCCGAACAATGGCTCAAGGAAGGTATGTGGCAGAGTAGAGTTTAGGAATGCATATTTGGAGAGAAACAGTGATCCCTCAAGTTGGTGAACCTGTGCTTTAGAGAGAATGCCAGGTCCATTTAGGAGAGAATGCCTGGACCATTTGGGTAAACTCACCTGTCTGAGGCATGGCCACACACTGCTGCTCCTATCAGGATTCCAGCCAGGTAGATGGACTGGGCCATGGGTTTCAAGGCCTGGGAATCACAAACCAGGTCCCACTGGAGGAAAAGAGGGACAGAGATGAATTCAGGAGGAGGGCAGTCCAGGTAGAAGGGGCAAAGGAGCTAAGAGGGAGCTGGGTGTGGGCTCTGAGGGCCATGAGGCACTCATAGGCTTAGTAGCTTGATCTCTTGTATCCTGTTACCCTTACTACTGGATCAAAGTCAAGACCCCTCTAGCCTTATCTGCTTTCTACTGAGCCATGGCTCTTAGCTAAGAATCCTCCACCTTCCACGGAGGCTTGCTTCCTCTTACACATGCACACACACACACACACACCACACATACACCACACACACACACCACACCACACACACAAACATACACACATACCCCACACACACCACACCCACACACCACACCCACACACACCAACACACACACCACACACACCACACACACACCACACACACCACACACACACACACACACACCACACACACGCACCACACACACATACACATACACACCCCCACACACCACACCCACACACACCACACACACACATCACACACACCACACACACACCACACACACACATACACACACACACCACAACCACACACCACACCCTCCATACCACACACACATACACCACACACACACATACACACACACCCCATACACACCACACCCCCCACACCCCCACACACCACACACACACCACACACACATCACACACCACACAAACACACACACACCACACACACACATCACACCACACACATCACACACACACACATACCACACACACACACCCCACACACCACAACCACAGCCCCCCACACACCACACACACACACCACACATACACATCACACACCACACACACACACAACACAAACACACACCACACACACACATCACACACACAAACACACACACCACATGAACCACACCTCCCCCCTACACACTCCACACACCACGCTCCCTCACACCCCCCCACATTACACACCACACCCCCTCACACCCCACACCCCACACACCACACCCTCCCACTCCACACACCCCACACACCACCCCCCCTCACACCCCACCCCCCCACACCACACACCCTCACACCCCACACCACACATACCACATAGCACGCCCCCTCACACACACACACCCACCCCCACCACACACCCTCCCACCCCACACACCACACCCCCTCACACACCACACCACACACACCACACCCTCACACCCCACACTCCCTCACACCACACCCCACACCCTCCCATCCCACACCCCCACATACTCAGGGACCTTCCTTCTGCCCCTCTCCATTGACTTGGATTCTCTGACTGTTCCTCTTTTTCCTCCTCCTCTTCCTCTCTCTCTCTCTCTCTCTCTCTCTCTCTCTCTCTCTGTGTGTGTGTGTGTGTGTGTGTGTGAGTGTGTGTGTGAGAGAGAGAGAGAGAGAAAGAGAGAGAGAGAGTTCTACCTCTGGAGCTATTTACTTTAATTTTGTGACATGGTCTCTCACTGAACCTGGGACTCACTGATTAGACTTGGCTGGCTGGCTAGTGAGCCCGGGAGCCCCTGCCCCGAATCTGCCTCTGTAGAGCTGGGATTATAATCATGCCACCACTGGGCCCAGCTTTTCCATGGGTGCTGGAGAGCTCACTCAGGTCTTCACACTCACAGGGCAAGCAGTTTGCTACTTATCTGCCCAGCCTTGCCAACACCTCTCACGAGAGGCTAGTGCTCATGCAGGTCCTGTGTGATCCAGGTCCTGTGTGCTCAGCCTGGAGACAGCCAACAAGTTCCTGTACCTGGGTGTCCTGGAGTCACAACTGAGGCTCAACTATGATCAAAGCAAAGACGGTGCCACGCCAGGCCAGTCTGTGCAGACAGAGCTCACTGTGTAGCTCAGGCTGGCCTCAGATATATGGCAATCTTGCCTCCCAAGTGCTAGGATCACAGTCATAGGCATGATCGACTAAATCTAGCTTTGCAGATGGACTACTACCCAGTCCCCTGTAAGCTATGGTTGCCCTAGTGAGGAGGCCTGGGGAGGTGAATCCTTTTTGAGACTGGAACATTTTAAGTCCAGCCGACTGTGACTGTGATTTTGACCTCCCAAGTGCTGTTACCGTGGTCACGATTGTGGACAAGAAGGTACTGTGGTCGTAGACCCAGCCATCTTCACATGGCTCAGTGTCAGCATCACTCCAGTTGGTGGCCGTGGTGTTGGGCTCCATGAGCTGCCATTGAGGTTGGCGGAAGCGGCGGCACTGGTGGGGTTGCTCAGCAGGACCAGGTGGGATGGAAATGGCCAGAAGGGCATCAGGCCCCAAGTTCCCAGCACTTGCCTGGGCAGTGCTGTTGTCCAGAAGAGGCACCCAACAGCGGTGTCGGGGCACGGCCGCTGAGAAGTTCTCCAGCATGTTCTGGCTGGTGACCCATAAAATGGGGGTCACCAGAGCCACAACTTGGAGGACCTGGAACCTGCCCAGGCCCCCTACTCGGTCCAGGAGTTCAGGAAATGCCATGGATTTCTCCTGGGTGCCAATATGCAACTGCCACTTAACAGAGGCTAGCCCAGGACCACAGGGTCAGTCTGATGAGGCTCCTTTCCCCATGGCTCTGCCCACACCCATCTCTCCAGGTACATGTCAGGAAACTGTGTCACTGAGGCAGAGCCAGCCAAGGCTCTCTGGTGTCTGCGTGCTGGCTGTCACCAGGGGTGGCTCACCCTGAGTCCTGGGACCCTCTGCTGTAATCTAGAGGCCACGGGGACCTTTCTGAGACACAGCAGACCCTGGCTCCCAGAAAAAAAAAATGGGCAGTAAGGAGGGAGGAGAGAGATGTCACTTTGACTAGAATTAAAGTGTGACTAAGAGCCGTTTAATAGAAGAGGGGTTAACAGTCATTTCTTCAAAGTTTAACCAGGCCAGCAGCATTGCAATGAAAGTTTCAACTTCCCCCTCCACCTGCCATTATGGCTCTGGCCTCTGTCAGGGTTTAGCAAGACCTGGGCCCTACTCCTACCACTAAGAGTGTTGGGGGCTGCCAGCCCTCAGTGTTTCTACCTACCCTACAGGGGCATCACAACTGTGCTGTGATCTAGCCCAGGAGAGGCTGGGCCTGGAGTCCTTGCAGTCTCAGAGCTGGCATGATCCTGGTCTGAGTGGTATCTTATGCTTGGGGATTTGTGTGTTCCCATGACATCCAGTCTGTGGGCCTCAATAGCCACCTGAAGCTGCCACTGCTCCTGCTGTCTTTCATTGATTTCCTGTACTGAGCCTCAGTAAGTCTTTTTGGCATTACTACATGCCCCTTCAAGACAGATGTCCTAAACTATTGATACTTTGTCTCTCCCCCAGGTTTCCTTGTCTTAGGATCAGTTTTTTGCCCATTATCATCTGGCCCTCATCCTGGAATGGAGTCATAGTTCACACCCCAGCTCCTCAGCACCCAGCCCCACGTATCTCTAAGCGGAACTAATTCTGAGGCTCTCCCTTTGCCTCTGTTCTGTCCCCTCCACCTGTTACCATACTGCAAAACCTCACACTAAATCCTGCGTTAAGCGCTAGAGGCCCTGGTCCTCTGGTAGAGCAGCAAGCACTTAACCATGGAGCACCTCTCCAGCTTGGCTCCTCAGCTCTTTGAAGGATTCCTGGCTGCTGGGAGGAGAACAGCCTGACAAAGGGGGATGTCCCCCAGGAGGCCATGGGAGCGACCATGTGAACAGAAATGGTGGTGAGGACTGGCACAGAGAGGCAGGACTGACGTCAGTGGGCACCAGACTCATGGGCTGGCTTTGGTTCAAGGTTGTTCTGGGAGGGGAAGAGGAAAAACTGTGGTCAGGCGGTGGGTGATGGGGCCAGTCACAAAGCTGAGGAGCCCTGGGGAAGGAGAAGGTTGGAGTTAAGTGGCTATCCCCAGCTCTGACCAGGTTGAGCGCTGAATATCCCTGAGCCATTCAGGTGGTGGTACCATGGAGTGACATGGGAACAAAGAACATGTGGAGTCACAGGTCAACTGAGCTCACCCAGGCAGAGACCTTTCGTAGAAAGAGGTGCAGTGGAGGCCAAGCCCTTGACCAGGCACGGAGCAGCGGACCGATGAGAGAGCATGTGAGGACAGGAACGGTCAGCAATGAAATCTAGCCCAGAACAACACTCCTGAAACTGGTGGACATTAGTGCTGAAGACAGGGGAGGGCTTGGGGACTGGACCTGGCCATGTGGACTTCCCTGATGGCCATGGCCCAAGGGATTGCTGCAAAGGGTGGAGTGAAATTCAGACAGGTGCCCAGGTCACATGAAGCTTTGAATACAGGAAGTGGGATCAGGACATATAAACAACACCTTCCAGGAGCATCCAGTAAAGGCTGGAGAACCAGAAATGGTGAGAATCAGTAATCCACTGATCTAACAAGGAGTCCAAAATAAGATCTCATGTAGCCCAGGTTGGCTCAAACCTCCTGGCTCCACCTCCTGAGTGCCAAGCTTACAGGAAGGCATCACCACTGCTGGTTTATGCACTCCTGGGCCTTAAACCCAGAGTTTCATGTGTGCTAGGCAAGCGCTCTGCCTAACACCCTTCGTGTTTGTGAGACAGGTTCTCATGTACCACTGGAGTTCTCTAGGTAACCAAGGATGGCCTTGAACTCCTGAACCTGTTGTCCCCAACTTTCGAGTGCTGGGATAGGTTATATTACCATTCCTGACGTGGAAACTATTTGAAAATAAAATAATTTTTACTGTGTGTGTGTGTGTGTGTGTGTGTGTGTGTGTGTGTGTGTACACATAGGTGCCCACAGAGGCCAGAAAAGGTACAGAAGCCCTGGAACTGGAGTTACAGGCTGTTGTGAATTGCTGGATGTGGTGTGGGGACCTACATTCCAGTCCTTGGAATAGCAGTACCTGCTCTCAACTGCTGAGCCCTCCCTCCAGTCCAGAAGCTTCTTTCTTAATTATGCAAAGTTCCAGGTGGTTGCTATGGATAGGTGGATGGCTGTCCTCCAAGGGAATGCAGCCCTTTCCTGCTTGTGGCCCTGCAGTTGTCACCCGAAGCCATTGGGCTCATGTGTCAGCCACAGAGGGGAAGAGAGAACAGGGAATCTACCTGATTTGGCCATTGTTAGTCTGAGCTGAAGGTGACACACAGTAACTGTCCTAGTTCAGAGGTGACAGTGATGGGTGGGTGGAGACATGGTTCCAGCTCTACACTGGGAGGCAAGGGTAGGGGCTGTGGACAGGGAGCTGCCATCACTGTAGAGCTAATGTGTCATTAGTGTCTTGTTTTGAGAAGACAGTATACCAGTAGAAATCCTAGTTAGAAACTGGGACCTCGATAACTGGTAGAAGTGGGAATGTTGGCTGGAGCCAGGTTCCTTGAGCCCCTTGAACAGTTCCTTGAGCAGGTCCTGGAGTCCAGTGGAGGGTGTGGTCCAGCTGCAGAGATGAGGTGCACCTGGGGCCCTGAGCAATGGCCCTCTCTCATTCAGTATTGGCAAGACAAGAAAGGTTGGTGACATAAGAAGCAGACAGGTAGTGGTGACTGGGAACATTGCAAGTCTGAGTATAGAAGAGGTGCATGTCTTGGGGAGATGCAGTTGGTGTCCCCTCAAGGCCTATGATAAGATTTTGTGAGTGGGCTCAGGGGCCTCTCTAGCCTGGCTCTACCTTTTGATTGACACTGGTCCTGGAGGGCTTGGCTGTCAACCAAAGGAAGCCTGGGAGAGTGAGCATCTGGCATCAACTGGAAGGGTGTTCCTTTTGTCACTGGTCCTTGGGTTAAACGGACTCTGCTGAAGAGCGGCAGGGCTTCTGTGGTTCAGGAGGTAGAAGAGTGGAAACGGGAGTTGGGGCTCTGGTCAGGGGCATGGACAGTAGTTGTTGGTCCAGTTTTAATAAGGATGTAAATGCAGGGTGGGGAAAGGAAGGTCCAAGAGCATAGGTGGTTAGATCAGAAGGGATATAGGTGAGGCTAGACCAGAAGAGATGTCAAGAGACGGACTTGCTGAAGGCCTTCATGTCACTGTTGCCTCGGGCAGCATCAGTTATGTGGGTGTGTTTTCTAAACTGGTCCTGGCTTGCCTTTGTCATCTTCTTTGCTTGGTCCAGGGGTACATGGTGGGCGTCTTGACTTTCTGCCTGATCGTGCAGTGGGTTTTTGTCTTTTCTTTCTTTCTTTTCCTTCCTTCCTTTTCCTTCCTTTTTTCTTTCTTTCTTTCTTTCTTTAATTTTTTTTCTAATACCCACAGTGATGACAGCTGCCTCTGGCCTCTAACCAGGCAGGAGAAAGGCCAGGCTGGGAGAGCTGACTGTGAGTGACTCAGCAAAGCCCTGGGACCAGGGCCAGAGTAGTAAATCCAGGAGGCTGTTGGAGGAGGAGACAGCCTGAGGTGGCTGCTGTGTAGGGTGCTGCCAGGGTTCCAGGAGAAAAGCCGAGAAATCTTCACTGCAGGATCAGAACCTCTGCTCTGCTCACTTTGTTCTAAAATGGAATGGTACTCCTAGACCAGTCTCTTAAAAGGGATCTACCAGCCTGCTGCTTGTCACTATTGCGTGGGTGCTTTGAGACAGGGTCTCATGTAGCCCATAGTTTAGGAAATCAATGGATGTAACTGATAATGGCCTTGTTTCCCGGTGCTGCTGCTCCCATCACACACTCTGGGGTCGTAGGCACACCTGCCACACCCGGGTTTATGCTGCTCTGGGAACTGAACACAGGGTGTCATGCACACTAGGCAAGCACTCTACTAACTAGTCTGTAGCCCAGCCCTGAGTAGAGCTCTCTGTGGTTCTCCATTGCTTCAGAGAGAAGGCTGTAGCTCTTGGGAGCCTTTCCCCTCCCTTTGTGGCCTGGTGTTGACCCCCTGGGCATAGACTCCTCCCCAGGTATGCACACACTCCCCATCTCTGTTCCTTTCTGTCCCTCTTACCAGAACCAGCCATGTCCTCCCAAGTCGGTTTCCTGCTGGCTCCTCTACAGGGAGGAGTGCCCCAAGTAGGGGCCCTGAGTCAAGTCACAGGCTTCCCGTCTCCTGGAGGTGGGGCCAGCCTGCCTTTAAAAAGCCCACAGTGTCTAGAGGATGGGAAGGCCTGCTCTTAGTCACCCCTTCTCCAGGGTCTATGTGAGGAAATGTGAAGCTTCAGCCCCTGTGCCACCTAGACAATTCCTCCAGCCCCCTGAAACATGGTACTCCTGGGCATTGCTTGCTCTAAATGGCTGTTCTGGGATGTTCTTGAAATCTGGGCCATTGCCCTTCCACAAAAGGGCACTAGCTCCATTCCTTATCACTACTGAATGTGTTCTGGACATGACCTCAGGGTCACCTCTAAATTACCTACAGAGCACCCTAGACCTGCTACCTTCCATGTTAATGATGGGAGCACCCTAGACCTGCTACCTCCCTGTTAATGATGGGAGCACCACAGACCTGCTGCCTTCCATGCTAATGATGGATGGGAGCACCGTAGACCTGCTGCCTTCCATGTTAATGATGGATAGGAGCACCGTAGACCTGCTGCCTTCCATGCTAATGATGGGAGCACCACAGACCCGTTGCCTTCCATGCTAATGATGGGAGCACCCTAGACCTGCTGCCTTCCATGTTAATGATGGGAGCACCCTAGACCTGCTGCCTTCCATGCTAATGATGGGAGCACCCTAGACCTGCTGCCTTCCATGTTAATGATGGGAGCACCCTAGACCTGCTGCCTTCCATGCTAATGATGGGAGCACCCTAGACCTGCTGCCTTCCATGTTAATGATGGGAGCACCGTAGACCTGCTGCCTTCCATGTTAATGATGGATAGGAGCACCATAGACCTGCTGCCTTCCATGCTAATGATGGGAGCACCCTAGACCTGCTGCCTTCCATGTTAATGATGGGAGCACCGTAGACCTGCTGCCTTCCATGTTAATGATGGATAGGAGCACCATAGACCTGCTGCCTTCCATGCTAATGATGGGAGCACCCTAGACCTGCTGCCTTCCATGTTAATGATGGGAGCACCCTAGACCTGCTGCCTTCCATGCTAATGATGGGAGCACCCTAGACCTGCTGCCTTCCATGCTAATGATGGGAGCACCCTAGACCTGCTGCCTTCCATGCTATTGATGGTGATGATGACAGTGGCAGAGCTGCACACAGGCACCTCTGTCCCAGCATCTGGCTACTTTCCTGTAGGCCATTACTGTCCTTTCTCCCTAAGCTCCAGGGTCCATTTCTTCTGCTCCTCCATCTTCTGGAGGAGCCCCAGGAAAGTCCCTATGTTGTCCTTGGTGGCTGGAAAGGCCTGCCTTTGCTTCCATATACCACCTACATGGCCCGTTCAATCTCTAGACCAAATTCCATCTTTGTATGCACGTAGCCCAAAAGGCCCCTAGTAGGCTTTCTCAGACAAAAGTGGCCTCTCCCCTAAGTGAACTTCCAGGGTCATCCCCATGCAGCTTTCTCCCTCACCATGTCTGCCTGCCACCCTGGCTAGCACCCAACAGGCTAGGATGATTCTTTTGATCCTGGCAGTATTCTATAGCATTAAGGATCATTTTCCCTGCTGGTTCCTGGGCTCAGGCAATGGCCAGCTACTTGTGTGCCATACTTCCCACCTGGAGGTTGTTGCTTGCTGGAGAAAGTGGCTGAGGTGGCCAGAGGTTGCCAGCTTGGCATCAGCTGGATTTGGGGGCGAATGTACTTGTGTCTTTAACTGGCCTCCTCATGGGAGTGCCCCTTTTAGTCCCTTCTGCCCTACTCCCAGGCTCCCTGCTACCATGGAAGGCTTTTGTGGCTCACTGAACAAATCTTTCCTAAGTAGGTCAAGGAGAGTGCCGAATGTGGCTGGCTCCATGCGCTTCCTTTCATGTGCCCAGCGGCTCCTGCAAGTCTGGCCCTCTGCTCCAAAGGGACTTTGCTTTCCTTGCTGTGTCAAAAAGATACTTCATGTTAAAATTCAACGCAAGATGTTAACCAGCCGTACAAACGAGACTGTCAAGACAAGGGCTGCTCAGGCAGGTTGAACTTCGCACCGGCTTGTTCTGATGAGGGTCCTGCCCACGCTGTGACCAGCTGGTGTATTTGGACAAGGCTAGGAGAGAATACTGCCCCATCCGCTGTCATCTTCCCTTGTGGCTCTCAGGTTCTCAGCCTGTCCTGGGGATCCCACCTTTACTGCAGGGTACACGCATGGGATTGTTGGGCAGCTTGGGGGTTGTGGGCTAGGAATATCTCTTCAGAGGAATTGTTTTAAGAAGGCACCAGGACCAGATTGGCTGTGGCGGGAGGAGAGGAGGAGAGTGTGTGTGTGCAAATAAGTAGATTTTGGCAGGTAACCTCATCTTACCAGAAAACAGAGTGGTGGTGATTGGCTGGCAGGACACCAACCCGGGGTTTAATCGGAATCTTTCTTCTTGTATTTTGTGGACAAGCATCCACACCTACTAGGATCAGAGGCTGCAGTGCTGGCTGTGGTTTCATCAGAGCCCATAGGTTTTCCTGAGCCAGCAAAGGCTGGCGGCTCTCAGCGCCTGCTTTGCTTGTTCCTTGGAGAAGTCAGTTACCCTCTCTGCACCTCAGTGCCCTCCTCCTCTGGAGCACTGGTAATAGTTCTGCTCTCACGAGGCTCTTGTGAGGTTTGATTTTGTGTCGATAACTTACACCCATCCTGGCATGCAGTGTTCATGCTGTTGCTAGGATTATTAGTGTGATTATTGTCATCATTATTTTTAATTGTTTTGACAAGGCAGCTTGTAGGTAACTTGTGGGAGCCTCTGAGGCTGAACTTGAGAAGTACTCCTGGGGAGCTGTGGCTGGCCCAGAGTCAGGTCAGGGTGAGTTTGGAAGCTGAGTGAGCGGAGCTGCACGCTGTTCCCCACTGAGCAAGGCAGGTGAAAATCTGGGTCGAATATGACTCATCTTTTCACATATGGCTAATGTGTGCTTGGTGGCTCTAACAGAGACCTCTTGTTTTGGTCTACTGAGGACACCTGTGAGGCAGATGCTGGGGAACTGGGCTCCTGAGAACTAAACACAATAGGCTCACTCCTAGGTGCGCCTTACAGGCAGAATCTAAAAGAGGGTTTGGAAGGTGCCATGTTCTGTCCCCCCCCCCCCCCCCGCAGAGATGTCTCAGCCTATGCTCTGTGATACTGCCTCTCTGTCACTTCTGGCTGGATCTTCATCCTGCAAATAGACATTTCTACACCCACACTCAAACATGTGCATTGTCTTACGTGTGTCCACACAAGTACACAACAAGCCAACACCACTCACTCACACCCACACATTGGACACACACAAAGGGGCAGGTAGAGCTTTGAGCAGATGGAATCAGAGAGGGTAAGGCTGTGACTGCGCAGCCAGATGGCCCTTTGGCCCCTTCATTTTCCTCTCTCTCTCTCTCTCTCTCTCTCTCTCTCTCTCTGTATCTCCCATCCATTTATCCATGCATATGTCTGCTGGTCCCATCCATCCATCTATCCATCAGTCTGTCTGCAGGTTGCCAGAAGGACAGCTTGAGGGGCTGGGGATGTGGCTCAGTTGGAAGAGTGCTTGCTGGCATGCTGACCCTGTGGTGTATGCCTGTAATCCCAGCAGTAGGGAGGTGAAAGGAGGATCCAAGATCATCTGTGCAGAGAGTTCACAACCAGCTTGGGATGCAAGAGGCCATGTCTCATGCATGCATACATAAGGAAAAGATGGGGGTGTCCTTCTGTATGTTGTGAATATATGTTTCTCTTATTGGTTGATGAATAAAGTTGTTTTGGCCAATGGACAGGCAGAATGTAGCCAGGCAGGAAGTATAGGCAGGGCTACCAGACTAGGAGAATTCCAGGAAGAGAGAGTGAGTCACTAGGGAGACAGGCATGTAGCTGTCTGGGTAGGATGCCTGGGTATTATCCGGTAAGCCAAGACCACATGGAAATACATAGATGAATAGAAATGGGTTAATAATTAAGAGAGAGCTAGCTTGTAAGAAGCCTGAGCCATTGGCCAATCAGTTTACACTTAATATAAGTAACTGTGTGTTTATTTTAGGACTGAACAGTAGCAGGGCCAGGCAGGGCAGAAACTCTATCCATAAGTAAACAAACCAACATATACATACATATATACACAGATACGTACATATACAGGATAGCTTGTATTGGGCCTAGGCACAGAGCTCTGGGCACAGTCTGGGAGTTTTTAAACAATGGTACTCTGTGTGTGTTTATGTGTTTGTGTGTGTGTGCATGTGTGTGGATGTGTGCCTGCAGAAGCTATAAGGCATTGGATTCCATGGACCTGGGGTCACAGGGAATTGTGGTCACATGACCGGGATGCTGGAAGTCAGCTGCTGGTCTACCCCATAACAACTTAGGGGCCTCCTTGCAGGACCAGCTGTATTAATGATGGGGCTGCATCTTGACCAGGATTGCTTAATAATGCACACCTCTCACTGCTGCTGCTCCAATCATCCCTCTGTTTAAAGCTCATCACATCAACACCCACTGTAGAACTGGGGTCACTGGACCCCTTATCTGTTTATCTTCCCAGTGGCCAATCATTATGTCTCATTCTTCTGCTTTTTACCATTATTTATCTATTTAATAGTGTTTGGGGCAGGTGCTCAAAACCATCTTATTTGGGTTGCTGGAGTCAAGTCTGTTGCCCTAAAACTCCAGTTTCAGAGTGGGGTTAGATGAAGCAGGCATTCGAGGAGGGCTGGACAATAAACCTTAGGCTTCCAGCTTCCACAGCCAAGCAGAAGGCAGAGTCATTGACCCAGACAGGACAGCCCAAGGTCTGGGGAAAGTTGAGAGTTCAGGGTGGGCCATTATGCAGACGGTGTCAGGGCACAGCTGATATTGGGAGGGTCCTGATACTGTCCCTGACAGCCTGGTGAGAAGGGACTGTGAAGCAAGTGGCTGGTGACTGGGCCTGCTCTTCTGGCCTGAGCTGGTCAAATGGCTGAGCTGACATCGATTTGATGTAGTCCACAGGCTGAGATGGAAACAACTCAGTCAATGTTGAACACTGGGAGATTTCACATAAAAACCGTCTTTTCTAAGTTAAAAAAAGAGAAAATTCTCTGGGCTCCACCACAAGGCAACAACTGGATGGACCTGAGTTGCTAATGCCTTCAATTGTGCCATTGAGCTCTGCACTGACCCCTGCAGGTGAGCCCAGTACCGTCCCCTCCAGGCCAAGCCCTGTTAGGCCCTCTGAGGATGAGTCCTGCCCTGCCCTGCCCTGCCCCTTGCCATGAACTGTTCACTTCAAGAAATCCCTGTACTGTTGCCAGGCGATGGTGGCACATGCCTTTAATCCCAGCACTAGGGAGGCAGAGGCAGGTGGATCTCTGTGAGGTCAAGGCCAGCCTGGTCTACAGAGCTAGTTCCAGGACAGGCTCCAAAACAATACAGAGAAACCCTGTCTAGAAAAACAACAAAAAACAAAAACGAAGACAAAACAAAACAAGAGCAACAACAACAAAACAAAGCAAAAAAGAAAGAAAAAGAAATCCCTGTACTGTCCCCTTCATGCTGATCCCTGCATTGCCCCCCTGTAGGTGAGGCCTGTACTGCCCCCTGAAGGCCAATGTGGTTATTAAATATGATCCTTTATTCAGACTGCCTGTTTACCCTCCAATGTCTTTTTTCTTCACCATATCTCCTCTGGCCTGTGATGATTTCTGGCTTTCTTTCTTCCATCCTTCTTCTCTTTTTAAAACATGTGTATGTATGTTTGTATGTGGGTATGCATGTGAGTGAGTGCAGGGATCCACAGCAACCAGAGGTGTTGGATCCCCCTGGAGCTGGAGTTTACAGGTAGTTTTGAACCACCTGATGTGGTGTTGGGAATTGAACTCTGATCCTCTGAAAGAACAGTGCGTGTTCTTATGCCCTGAGCCATCTCTCCAGCTTTAATTTCTGCCTGTCTGTCTTTTTTGTTTTTGTTTTTTAATCATGATTTTGACAGCTTTGGGGAGTAACGTGCAGGCATTTTGTAGAGACCCACAGTTTGGGTTTTCCTGATGTTTTTCTTGTGATAGACAAGGTCTATCACAAGACAGGGCCTTGGGAAGGTCAGTGTGAGGACAGGCGCCCTCATCATATCCCCCTATGAATGTTTGAACCGTGGCGCAGACATGCACTAAGGGCCCTCAAGGACATCAGGCGAGGTGGTGTATGTCTAGTATCTTGAGAGCCCTTGCTAAGGTTGTTATGTAGCAGTTTCCAGTTTCGTCTGATTTTAGCTGGTTTGATTAGAGCAAGTAAGGAAATAAGAATACACTCTTTAGAAAGAGAACAGGCTACATGAGTAGCCAGGACCCTGATCTTAGCAGACATGGGCTTATTTCTCTCTCTGGTATCTCCTTCCTGATATCTTCCTTCAGGGTGGGCACTCCTGGGAAAGGGGTATATTTTTTTCAGAAGCCCATTTTACCCAGAATTCAGTTTGTTTTAAGGTGACATATAAGATAATATAACACAAACAAAAGCAGGAGAAGGGGGGCGGTTGGAGAGATACTCAGAGGTTGAGAGTACTGGCTATTCTTCCAGAGGCCTTGAGTAGCTTCTTAGCCCCCACACTGTAATTCACCCATCTGTAACTACTGTTTCAAGGGATCTGATGTCCTCTTCAGGCCTCTGTGGGTACTGCATGTATGTGGTGCACAGACACCCAAAGGCACCAAATAAAAATAAAGAATGAAAGGAAGGAAGAGAGAAAGGAAGGAAGGAAGGAAGGAAGGAAGAAAATGCATTCAGACTCAAGTTCACTGGAGGAAAGAGGAACAGCCTTCTGCATATATTCTCCAGGCCAGACATTCCTAGGAGACAGTTAAAGCTGAGCCAGCTAGTTGGGCCACTCTACTCACTATTCTTTACTTCCTGTCTCACTGACTCCAACTATCTCTACAGCCAGTTTTGGGACCCTGAGCTGTCACAGCTGGAGAGATCAGCTCCACCTTTGACTCCCTATGTCCTGTTCAGGGAGCCGATTACTCAGTTCGTCCCAGAGTTCACCCCATGCTCACCATAGTCTTCACTCAGGACATCTAGTTCTCTGAATCCCAAGCCTGCCCCAAGCGGCCAGATGTGCACAGCATTAAGACAGGACAGCTCACTGATGCAGCGTCTGCCTAGTGTGCAGAAGGGTGTGTGTCCATGCGGATGCCAGAGGATAGCTTTGTGGCACCGGGTCTCTCCTCCCGCCTTTCCAGCTGCCAGGCTTACACAGCAAGTGCCTTTAAGTCAACTGTGCTGAAGGCTCTCGATCATCTGTTCATGTGCTGATTGGTGCTTTGGTTGCTTCCAGCTCTTGGTAATTGTAAATACAGCTGCTATCAATGTGTATGTATTAACTATCACTGTGCCCCATGTTTCCTTTCTCCCGCTGCATACTCGGGAGAGAATGGCAGGCCCATGGTGGATGAATGCTAGATTCCCGCATCCCAGTCACTTCACACTCTTATGCTCTTCCTTACCTTAGTGGTGTTGTTCTGCACTGGGCTTTGAAGGTAGCCCAGGCGGGCCTTGAAATTGTGATTCTCTTGCCTCAGCCTCTTGAGTGGCTGTGATGGCAGATGTGCCACACTCACTTTGCTTGCATTTTTCTCTTGATCATCATCTTCCCAGGAGAGCGCTTGTCCCCGATAAGCACACCCTGATGTATAACTGAAAATGCAAAGAACCGAGGTTAGTTAGGAGAATTTTTAAAAAAAGAAAAAGGAAAGCAAGACAGATGTGATAGTGCTTTAATCCCAGCATCTGGGAGCAGAGGCAAGTGGATCATCTCTGTGAGTTTGAGGCCAGCCTGCTTTACACAGTGAGTTCCAGGTTAACTAAGACTACATAGTGAGACACTGTCCCCCCCCCCAAAAAAAACAAGGAATAAATACAGGTTTTTTTAAAAAATCCAGTAATATCAGAGTTTCTGAAGCATGTATTTTGTTCGTTTTTGATAATTGCATACATGTATACAATAAGGTATGATCACATGTCCTCCTGATTTCCCACCTTCAACTTCTCCAGGTCTCCCCGAAAAACACCTCCCTCCTCCTAATCTCATGTCTTTTTTTTTTTAATCCCAATAAATCCAGTTAGTACACCATACTTGCATGGGTGTAGGGCCAGTAGCCATAAAGAATAAATTCCATAAAGAATGAATTTTCCTTCCCCCAACTATCTACTGTCAACAGATCCTCAGTAAGGAACCGGGCTGAGAGAGCCTTCCGCCATCTCTGTCTATGCAGCAGTGACCACAGCTACTGTGAGTTCATCTGTTCTAGAACTCCATCATGTCTGTGTCGGCATGTCACAGCACTCCTCCCCATGCCCAGGCGCTTGCACACTTGCCTCCTCTTCCTTGATGTTCCCCGAGCCTTGGTAGTGGTGGTGGTGGGTTAACAGATGTCTAGGGCTGGTCATTCCATCTCCTATTCTCAACACTAACCCGTTCTGCATCTCCCACTGACTGCTGCCCACTGCAAAAGGGAAGCTTCTCTGACCAAGGCTGAGCGCTGCCCAGGTACTTTGGAACCAGCAGCTGGGTGGGAATAGAGAATCAGTTGAAACAGTCTTTTAAAAAATTAAATTATTATTGTGAGGGGATACGTGTGTCACATGCACGTGTGGTCAGGGAACAGCTTTGTGGAGCCTGTTCTCTTCCTCCCACCCGGGGGGCACGTCTGTGTTTCTGGACTCTGCAAGACAAATATTTTCAGTATTGGGGATTGCATGCACGCTGGAACACAAGCATGTGTAACAAACAAGGGCTCTGTCACGAGCCACAGCCCAGTCCTTTGTCCTTCTCTTTGCAGAATTGTTTCAGCTAATTTAGTCCTTTGCGTTTTCATGCAAACGTTAGCATCCATGTGTTTGCCACTGTTGTGTTGGTATTTTTCTTTGAGGCAGGGTCTCATGTAGCCCAGGATCACTCTGGAAATGGTCGTGTAGCCAAGGATAACTTTGAACTCCTCATCTTCCTGCCTCTCTCCTACAGCCTGGAATTATATGTGTGCCTCCACCCTGGCTTTTTATACAGGAGAATGTTGACACGGAGGTTACATAGAATCTGTGAACCAAACTGTAGAGAATTAGTAATGTTGACCTTCCTGATCCTGAACACAAGACAACTGTCCATTATTTAGGTCTCTGTTTCTTCATTAGTTTGTGTATTTGTTTCTTCTAGCAGCATTCATTCGTTGCCTTCCTTCATTGATTTATTCCTGGGTATTCCTTCTCCCTATGCCATTGTCAAGTGGGTTTTGCATTAACATTCACTTCTGTAGGTTACGGGTGTTGGCATTCAGGCGTTTACACTGGCCTGCTCTCAGGGACCTAGCAGCAGCTGCAACAGCATTGTCGCTACTGCAGCCACTGGTTAGAGCAGTCTCCCTGTGTGCGTGCACTATATCCCCTTATAAAAGGCAAGCCCATCCTGCCCTCCTCCCTTTGCTCTTTCCTCCAGCGGACGCCTCTGCATCTCCCCTCCCTCCCAATAAACCTCCCACCCGAGTTCTGGTGTTGGTGTGACTTCCCTCCCCCTCCACCACTAAACTACCATATTGGTGCCAAGACTCTGGGAGGATCTCCTGGTGGCCCACCCTGCTCATCAGTAGCCTGAGCCATGCTGGGATCATGTACCTGGTCTACCTTCAACAGGCTCACTTTCCAACTGACCGATCGCTGAGCTCTTCACCCAACACAGGCACAATTAGTGAGTTTCCCTTCTCCCAGTCAGCGTGAATGTTTCCCTGGATCTGTGGGAGTGACTGTTGAGTGTCCAGCATTCCTCTGGTGTTTTTGGAAGTAGAGGAACCCCCAACCATGGTCTTTAAGGCTATAGTTGACCCTTGTCACCAACACTCACCTCTGGCCATTTCCCATGAGTGAGGCTTAATCTCTCGAGCATGGTTTCTTGCCCCTTGGCCCCATTCACAAGCCCTGGTACCAGGCAACCATGTCTCACTTGGGCTCTCAGCCCTTGGCCCCTGTTCTTGCATGATGATGTGCTGAATAGCTTGGGCCTACTCATTCCAAACCATCCTGGACTCCTGGGATCCAGACCTTTGGATCTCTCTCTCTGCCTTACTCATGGGAACTGTGTCCTTGAACATACCTCTAAGCTCCCTGCTAGGATGCCTTTTGGAAAACTTCAGACCCCCTACACCTAGCACCCAACTTAAGGACTTCTAAACTTATCCACCTTTGCAATCAAACCTGGCCCTGGTACCTTTAGATAATCAATTCAAATGGCTAGCTACCAGCAGCCTATATTCCAATATTATATGGGACTTTTGCAACGTTTGCTAACAATTGAGTAGATGGAAGAAGGTATCCTATGCCCAAGCATTCTGTTGTCTTCACTCCAAACCCTCCCTCTGTTCTTCCTTCCTGTTCCCCTACTCAGCTACTGTTCTCTATGAAGCCTGCTAAGATGCTCGTCCCCTTTTCATTAAGTAAACTATCTCAAATTAACAACAATAACAAAACCAACTGGGTCTTAACATTCTAACTCTGCTTCTTTCATTAAAAAATTCCAATGTTAGTTTCTGATGCAGTGGTGGCAGCTCGCCTCTGTCACCTGTCTCCAGCTATGCCGTATGTGCACCTTTTAAAAATATCCACCAGGCAGAGCTCACTCTCTTTGCCTCTTGCTCCTCTTTGTCTTCCCTTTTCTTTTCTCTCTCGTCTCTTCCTCCTGTCTGCTGCCCTCTCTAAGTCCCTGCTCCGACACTGCCTTCTACCCTTTTACTCTACCCACAATAACCCTTTTGCACTAACTCTGTTGCGTGTGGCATATTTGCTTAGTGACATACCTTGGCAGGGCTCACCAAAAGGTACTCACTTCGCGCCTACTCCACCCACCACAGATCCACCCTCTTCACCTGCAGCAAATCTGCTTTCTCATTCTCCGATGGCTTTGCCTTCCTTCTCTAGCAGGGCTACCTGCGTCTGACCTTTCTCCTGGATGTGAGACTTCCTTTCTCAAGCGCAGTCCTCCTTTTCTCAAAGTCCTAGTACCAGGTGACTGTGTCTCTCTTGGGCTCTCAGCCCCTGGCTCCTCTTCTTGCATGACAACGTACTGAACAGCTTGTGCCTACTCAATCCCATCTTCCCTGGATCTCTGGGATGCCAGGATGTCTCGTTCTCTACCCCATTTTTGGGAACTGTGTCATGCACCTCCTCACTCCCATTGGGATGTCTTTTGGAGACCCACTCACCATCCTTTCAAATCAGGAATCAGGTCTGTATAAGTTAGACCAGGCAGTGGGAGAACTGAGATCTCTCTCTCTCTCTCTCTCTCTCTCTCTCTCTCTCTCGTGTGTGTGAGTGTGTGTGTGTGTATAACTTGGATTCAACTTTGCATATATGTGCATGTAACTATTGCTTAGGATAACATGTTTTAAGCATCAACCACATGGCTCTCCTCCATCTTGGATGGTGACCTCATCATGATGTAGGTAGCCGCGTGGCTGGCAACCATCTTTACCAAGGTTAAAGAGTACATACCATGTGACACTTCTTAGTCCTAATGAGCTTTTTGTTCATTGTATCTTGTTTCAGATGAAGAAAGCAACAAGTCTCAAATATTTTGGATTGGTATGGACGTTTGTGTGATGATAGAAATGTAAAGTTATTTGTGATTCAACTCTGCTTTAGAATATATTGTATGTGGTGATAAAAATTAAAGTTATAAAGGTCTATTCAGATTAACAAAAGCTGATTTAGAGATTTACACCTAAGTACTTATGTCTTTGCCAAGTGTTCAACTCCAGTCTTCTAGAGAATTTAGATAAGCATCGACATATGTTTGATAAAGTATTTTACAAGTTATATATATGTATATATATATATATATGTACATATACATATGTACACACACACACATATGTATTCTATAATGGAGTTTCTGGTCCCTTGACAGGGTCCTTTTCCCAGAGTTGGGCATTTAGGCAGAGGCCACCACGGCTTGTCAAGGGCAGTGCTGGCCTCTGGGCTCTCTCAGTCCCTGTTCATGGGCTGCACCACAGCTCACAGGCCCCCTTTTCTCCTATTCCCATTTTCGCCCTGGGAATATTTCCCCTGTCACTATTCCTTGCCTTCTCAGAAGATTGCCTTAGAAGTCTGAAACAAACTTATTCTGTTTTACCCACAGTATGGCTTTACTGAGCCCATTAACTATGATTAAAAAGTTTTATTTTGATATTTATTCTGACAGGAATGGAGTGCAAAGTTCTAGTCCTATGGGAGCCGCTAATACATTGTAGACTGTTAAGGAACATAAGTTAATAGCTATCTTATAAATGATCAAGTTCTTTAGCTGTAGTCATGCTGAGTACTAATATAATTAGCTACAGGGATAAGCCTTACTTAGTCCCCTGTATATGTTTTCAAAGTTAAGCTTACAACAAGTAACTAGAAGCAAAGTTTGTCTATTTGGATATACCTAATAGATGGATAGTCCTCAAATGCTTCAGAGATCTGCAGAACATGACATTTAAAATGTTTAATAAAAAAACTTTTTATGATAGGCATGCCAGCTCCTGGCAGCACCCCTATCTCTTCCAAAGGAGATGGATGGGTACAGAAGAGCCTCCACTTGGAGCATGTTTCAAATGTGGCAATGCCAGCCAATGGGTAAAGAAAAAAACTGCCTTTCACCTCAACCGCTGCCAAGAACCTGCCCAAACTGAACAACAGGACACTTTACCTTGACAAGGTAGGCTGGTCCCCCCACAAGTTCCTACTCCACAGGAAAGTCTGTCAGATGTTCTGGGCCTGGCAGCTGAAGGCCTGTGCTGCCCTGAGACCCCTACCCAAAATGCCCATGGAGGGCCCTGGGGTAGCTGTCTAGGTAGCCAGTAAGTCCCTGCCATTTTTAGTAGATTTGGAAGTTAGGTGGTCTGCTCACTCAGGTAAAATGTATCCTTTACAGCACTCTAATGGCACTGATGACCAGGCTAGTGATAGCTTTGTCAGTTTAACAGCAGCAACCAAGGCTTCAGCTGCCTTCTCAGTTCTTTTGGTGTGTAAAATTCAGGTCCCAGCCTTTCTATCCCAGAGCCACTACTAGGTCTAGTTTACCTTGTTACCAGACTCAGAGAAGAGATAAACTCACAGATTTCAATGTAACTTTTACCATTCCTTTACTAAAAGTAACTCACACTACAATGACTCCCCTCCGTAATCAAACACCTGTGTCTCCTGGTAAATTAGAAAGAAAGAATGTGTTTAAGGTGTAGTTTATGTGAGGACATAAAAGCTTAAGATGTGAGGGTCTAAGAATGTTTTAGGGTCTAAGAAAGTGACTTAGGATGTGTAAATGCAAGTGATAAAGATGAAAAAGCTTAAGCAGTGATAAAAAGAAAGTAATTTGAGATATATAAAAGAATGAAACAGGTTCCAAATTTCTCTCTCTCGCTATGCCACTGCTATATTAAGACTCCAAAAGTCCAGGTTTTTTTTTTTTTTTTTTGTTTGCTTTTTTGAGACAGGGTTTCTCTGTATTGCTTTGGAGACTGTCCTGGAACTAGCTCTGTAGACCAGGCTGGCCTCGAACTCACAGAGATCCACCTGTCTCTGCCTCCCAAGTGTTGGGATTAAAGGCATGTGCCACCAACACCATGCTCAGAGTATTTTTTCACACACACACACACACACACACACATATGTGTGTGTGTATATATATAATTTTTTCTTATTTTACTTGTCGATCCCAGTTCCCTCTCCCTCCCATGCCCCCCATCCCCTCTCCCATCCCATCCCCCCCCCCCTCCACAGGGAGGGTGATTCCTTCTAGGAGGGATTATCATATCTGTCATTTGGAACAGGGTCTAGGCCCTCCCTCTTGTCTCTAGGCTAAGGGAGTATCAAAAGTTCATTGTCTTAACATTAATTGATGGAACTCTAATAAACTGTTAATCTAGTGCTGGCAGGGTACCACTACTATTATAGCTACAAGATCAGGACTTTAAATTCCCTGACGGGGGATGGTCTTCTGTATATATGTTTCTCTTATTGGATGATGAATAAAACACTGTTAGGCCAATAGCCAGTAGAGGCAGGAAGATAGGCGGGACTAGAAGATAGGAGAATTCTGGGAAAGGTAGACAGAGAGAGACTGGAAGGAGACACGATGGAGGGACCGGGAGGATAGGACGTGCCAGGCATTCTCTGGTAAGATAAGGCCATGTAGAAACACATAGATTAGTACTAGTTATAGATTAATAATTAAGACAGAGCTAGTCAATAAGGAGCCCTAGCCATCAGTCAACAGTTTTATAATTAATATAGCATACATGTGTGTTTATTTGGGGCTGAGAAGGGTGGCAGGACCTGGTGGGACAAGAAAATCCAGCAACAATTCCCTTTGGTTGTTTAAGTATAGACTTAAAAGTGCTTCTCCTCGTGCTAAAAACCATCTGTCTAATTGGTATACATTCAGTTTTCTGGAAAGAGGAAACAGTGTTACTAAAAACATCTGTCTAATCTGTATGTATCCAGTCTTCTAGATAGAGAAAAGAGTGTTACTAAAAACATCTGTCTATTCTGTATACATCCAGTCTTCTGGATACAGGAAAGGGTGTTACTAAAAACATTAGTCTAATCTGTATACATCCAGTTTTCTGGATAGAGGAAAGGGTGTTACTAAAAACATCTGTCTAATCTGTATACATCCAGTCTTCTGGATAGAGGAAAGGGTGTTACTGCTCTGAATCAGAATCATTTCTTACAATGTGGATTTCAGTATGGATTACAAATGGTGGGAATGTAATGTATGTGTCTAAAACTTACCTCTTTTTGTAAACTAAAAAAGTTCTTGCTAGAATCTAGGGAGTTGACTTGAATCCATCTCCAACATCATCCTGCCAGGTCGTCTCAAAATCAGCTTCAAAGTGGCAATCCCCAAGTGGTCCAACTTCACAGATGGCTTCAACTAGACATGCACTTTTCTAGCACTGGACCATCCCAGAGCTTAGCAGTGAAACAGTCAGGTATCCTAGGATTTGGCCAGTATCACAGCTTTCTCAGGTCCCCCAAAGATGCCAATGCCCATAAAAAGCAAGAAAGCAGTCTAGAGAACTCAGTGCCCCCATACCCACCTCACCAGCTACTCATTCTTATCTCCTAGTCTTTTATAATAAACAAAAGGGAGGAATGTTAGCATTCAGGCGTTTACACTGGCCTGCTCTCAGGGACCTAGCTAGCATCAGCAGCAACATTGTAGCTACTGCAGCCATTGGTTAGAACAGTTTCCCTAAGTACATGTGCTATATCCCTTATAAAAGACAAGCCCCTCAGGACCTCCTCTCCCTCCCTTCACTCTCGCCTCCAGAGGGGCCTCTGCATCTTCCCCCACAACAAACCTTCCACATGAGTTTTGTTGTATGGTGTGACTTGCCCTCCCCTCTGCCGCTAAAGTACCATAACTAATTCCCAGAAATACAGATGAATTTCATATATCAATCTTGCATTCTGTAGCCCTGACAATCTTATTTTAGGAACTTTAATGTGAAATAGGCTCATATTATGTAGCCCAGTAAGTTGTTTACTTTTAACTATCAACTTCACACAACCTGGAATCATCTGAGAGTCTTACTGAGGAATTTTCTAGATCAGCTTGGGCTGTAGACATGTCTGGGGAACACTATCTTTAATTTTTGGTTGATGTCAGAAGACCTATCCTCAATGGGGATAACATTTCACGGGCTATCTGTGATACACACACACACACACACACACACACACACACACACACACACACACACACACCTCCATCCATATCCAGGAAGGAGCTGGAAACAAGGATGGTTTTCCTCACTCTGCTCTTGACCTTGGATGTAGTATGACTAGCTGCTTGAGTTTCTGCCATGACATCTTGTCAATGAAGGACTATGAGAAGGGCTCTAGAAGGCCCACTCATTGCAAACATTGCAGACAGGTTTTGCCCTTTTATCCCTCTTCTCCTTTGCTAGAAACCTTTACATTCCTAAAGTTAGCTCCCAAGGTTTATTCCCTTATTTGGCCATTTCCTCCTCCTGAGGCTTGCTACTAAGGTCCAGCTATCAAAGTATTGAAGTCCAGTAATCAAAAGTCCCCCATTGGCTGGCATAATTAACAATCCCAATCAAAACAAAGCAACTCATCCTAACACAGGGTTTCCTCTTTTCCCTTTATTAACTGCCATTTGCCTACAGGTCATGTGTGTCTCCTCTCTATCCACAGGCAGTCCTTTGTCCCTCTGGGCAAATATCCTTCCCTCCCTTGCTCCTCTTCCTTTCTCCCCCACCCCTTTTTGGTCTCATATTCTCTACTTTCTCTCCCCCTGGGGCAAATAAGTCTCCTTTGTGCTGAGAACTTGGTCTTGAGGTGTTTTGTGCCAACACTGAGGTCCTTTCACTGTGACTTGGAATTGTTTTTGTTGTTGTTGTTTTATTTTTATTTTATTTATTTATTTATTGGATTTTGTTTGTATGGCTTTTTTCTGTATAGCTTTGGCTGTCCTGGAATTCAGTCTGTAGACCAGGATGGTCTTGAACTTACAGAGATCCTCCTGCTTCTGCTTCCTGAGTGCTGAGATTGAAGGTGTGTGCCACCATCACCCAGTTTGTGACTCAGAATTGTAAATCTAATGAATCCCTTTCCCCTCCAAGTTGTTTTCTGTCAGAGTGTCTTATCACAGCTACAGAAATACAACTAGAACACCTAGGCTAGTTCCAAACCTGTGGCCATCTTGTCACCTCAGCCTCTAGGTTGCTGGGATTACAGGTGTGTTACCAAATGGTTTTCTGAAGAGTTTCTCTAATTCTTTATCAATAAAAACTTGGGAGTCAGGTATCAGGGTAAGAGCCCAAATGATCAGAGAAGAGGCAGAGAAGCGATTAGTGATCCCTCCCCCACTCTCTTGTTCCTTAAGAACTAGCTCCACCCTCTGGTTTAAACAAACTTTATTGGCAGTTTTGGGAGGGCCAGAATTCGATCAAACTATCACACAACATGTGGTGATATTTTGTTTATGATCTAACAAATAAAACTTTCCTGAAGATCAGAGCCACACTAGTTAGCTATAGAGGTCAGACAGTGGTAGCATACACCTTTAATCCCAGCACCCACAATAGTTAGCCGTAGAGGCCAGTGGTGGTACACATTTTTAACCCCAGCACTTGGGAGACAGAGGCAGATGGATATGTTAGTTCAAGGCCACCATGGGCTACACAAAATTGATCCAGTCTAAAAGAGAAACAGAGCTCACACAAAGGGGATCCCAGCACTTGACGTGACACACCTTTAATCCCAGTAATAAGGAGGTGGAGACAGGAGTGATATGGCTGGGTGGAGAGAGAAATATAAGGCAGGAGGAGACAGTAGCTCAAGGCAGTTTGAGCCAGCAATCTGAGGACAGGATCGCCCCTTTGGTCTGAGCATCGCTAGAGGCAAGAACTCTCTAGTGGCTGGTTGCTCTGCTTCTCTGATCCTTCAGCTTTCACCCCAATAGCCGACTCTGAGTTTTTATTATTAATATCAATTAGAGTTCATGCTACACAATATTTTCCCCCTTTTGTCTAAATAAAAATGGAAAGTTTTAACTCTGACACTGAAAAACTATACAATAAAGACCAATTATCAGGTAAGAATTAATATTCACAATGT